CACCATAAAGAGTCCCTTGGGATTTTTCAGAATGTTTGTCCCAGGAAAATCTTTTCTCTAAGCACAAGGTAATAATACAAGAGAGAATTTAAGAAGAGTTGCTATACTATATCTGTTATATATCTAGAACATTTACACACAGAGGGTATGTCTAGACTACATGCCTCTGCCAACAGAGGCATGTAAACTAGGCTACCCGACATAGTCAAAGAAGCCGGGATTTAAATATCCCCGGCTTCATTAAAATAAACATGGCCGCCATGCTGTGCCGGCTCAGCTGATTGTCAGCACAGCGTGCAAGTCAAGACGCGGATTGGTCAACAGGGAAAGCCTTTGTCAACTGTTCCTGTAATCCTCATTTCACGAGGCATAAGAGAGCGGTCTACAAAGGCTTCCCCTGACAACCGATCCGCGTCTTGACTTGCACGCTGTGCTGACGATCAGCTGAGCCGGCACAGCGCAGCGGCCATGCTTATTTTAATGAAGCCGGGGATATATAAATCTTGGCTTCTTTGACTATGTCGGGAAGCCTAGTTTACATGCCTCTGTCGGCAGAGGCATGTAGTCTAGACATACCCAGAGAGACAAAGAACTCAGCCAAGAAATCTGAAGATTTTTTCCTCTAATTACCAATCTTCATAATCACTTCTTAAACTGGTGTGCTGTTGGGTTTTTTTAAACGTAATTTTATGTTTTTGAAGGGTCTCCGGCACTACTGTATTTAAAAAGGGAGTTTAAACAAAAAAACCTAAAATAATAAAAAAACGTATGGATAGAGGAGAAAAAGTTACATTAACTTAAATAATTTTTAAAATAGAGAATCCATATATAAATGTTGAAACTCATCACTGAAAATAAAAACAACAGAAGACAAAATAAATTAAACAGATTTTAAAAAAATCAGCATCTTATAGGATTGAGATGTCTCAAAGCAGAGGAAATGCCAATACTGCTCTTAGGTATTAGTAGGCTCTTTTACAATTCAACTGCAGCATCTCTCTTGCTCACTTTCTCATTCTCACTCGCTCACTTTCTCAGCAAGATTATCTGAGTACCTCATTACTTGTTGCAGTGTAGATGTACCCTTAGATACTTTGTTTGGACATTTAACAAGTGTGGAGTTTGTCAAAGTTAAGCAATTTTAAATATGGAAAAACGTTTGCTATTTGATAGACCATTTGCTTTTCAAAAAAAATTACTATTACTAAAAACCTTGGAAAAAGTAGTCAGAGGATAACTTGTGTGCGCACTAAGGATAGACAAGTTAATCAACTGTCTGTCCTCTGTGTTGCCCTCCTAATCTAAATGATTCCGTTTCCTCAATATAGAATGCTGTTAACTATTTTATATTATTATCTTGTAAATGTGCTTGAAAGTAGGTCATTGAAAATGAGCTTACATACATACAACAGAGAGACATCATCAGATTAAAATATAAAAAGCAGGAGATGAAAACCACTGACCTGCTTCTTTTGGTGTTTGTTTAGAAGGGCTAAAAATAAGACATAGCATCTGGAGTAGTCTGCCAGAGCTGCACAGCAATCATTGTAGGAAGATAGTTTGCTATAAACATACAAAAATATAATATAAATGAAGACATCATTTTATTTCTTCTGGAAAATAAAAAAAAAAAATCTACTTTCAAGTCTCAAAGTAACATTTTGCAACACAGAATGAAATGCTAGTACTTGTATTACAGATTCAGGCAGACAGTTACACATAAAGAGAATGATACTGAATTCCAATGAATGCATTGTAACAACTATAATGTTATGCGTTACACAATGAACAAAATTCTAGCTTTTCCTGTGGCAGTACAATAGAGAAAAGAAGAGTGCATGAAGAACCTCCCTCAATCCATGTGTCCAGTCTAGGCATGTATGCCAAAACTATCAGTAGTAGCACTTTAAAGACTAACAAAACATGTAGATGGAATCATGCGCTTTCGTGGGCACAGCCCACTTCTTCAGATGATTTCTTCCGTCATCTGAAGAAGTGGGCTGTGCCCACGAAAGCGCATGATTCCATCTACATGTTTTGTTAGTCTTTAAAGTGCTACCAGATTAATTGTTGTTTTTTAAGTTTTTCCTATTACACACTAACTCGGCTACCCCTCTGAAAGTATTCCTTAAGTAATAAGCAGAGGCCTTTGGCCTCAAGACAGCATGAGGAGCCAAGTGGAGACCAGGACAGGACATCATCTCTTCTGCATGCCTGTTAGTGCCCAATATGGCATTAGGGGTGCTACTCTTTAACCGTACTCCTCCCCACACTTTTCAAAGCATTCTCTTCCTGCATCTGACCCAAAGTTATAGTCCATCAGATTGCTGTATCTCTGTACCTTTCAGCCTAATGGTTCAAAGAGGAGCAAGAGTATACTTTGGCCTACATTTATTATGGTTATATAGTTAACTGGTTAACCCTTTGCTTCCAGTTAATATTCTATCTGAAAACATCTTCAGAATCAAGTAGAATTACAAAAAGTTATAATACATTTTTAAATATTTATGGACCCAGAAATTTGAATAATTAAAACAGATTTGAAAACATAAGTTAGCTAGGTTCTTTGTATAGAATTCATGTTACACATTGGGAAAAGATAGATGGCAAGACTAATAACATTACAGGAAAAAGAACAGTATTTACTTCTATATTCTATGCTACATTTGCAACTTCTAGGTAACTAGTTAATTTGGTTTTATGACCACCATGGTACCTGATAATAGCAGAGGAATCGGGGTCTGCAATTACCAAATTTAATATTTGAAAATATTTGAAGAATTAAGGAACTCTAAACAAGACAAATCTATTTCTGCATCTGTGATCAGACGTGATCTAGGAAAAGCGACTGTCTTCACAGCCTTGGCAATTTGCCAGGAAATAAAGAAAACACCCTCTCCAAGCAAGCAAGGTACATAACACATTCCAAAACTCTGTCTCATCTTCAGAGATCAGATTACACAGACAGCAGAGAGCAATGGAACTATGGCTGAGAAGTGTTTCGTGTTTTCCCTGCCTAGCGCACCTATGGAAACCATCCTACGCAAACCACAAAGAGTCAAGCTCTGCCTTTTTTAAGGCTAGAGAGGAAAGCAAGGCAGAACTTAGAAGCAGCTGCTTTCTGTGGCATGCTCCCTGTAGAAGAGTCAGTGACAAAGCAGAGGCTGAGTAGTTGTTGGACATAGGAGTTTAAGTCACTGGCAACATTGCTTTTCAGTAAATCTTTCAGCCAATGGCATGAGGAATGTATCACAGCAGCACAGAGGCAAACCATAATTCAAATCTTAACTCAGAATTACTCATTTCTACAGCCCTCACACTCTCTGCAAATTCCTCAAAAGCCTATTATTCAACTCATGCAAAATTCTTAAGTTACTTTCCACCCCATTCAGCATTTGCAATATTACAATCAACCCTTCTGAGGTTTATGCTTGGACATAGGGAAAAGAACGGTTACTTACTTGTAACTCTTGTTCTTCTAGGTGTGTTGCTCATGTAAATTCGAATCAGGTGTGGGCACTGCGTGCACCGTGTCTCCGGAGCATTTTCCCTAGCGGGACCTGTAGCACCGGCAGGGCACCCCCTGGAGTAGCGCCACTATAGCGGAGCATAAGTACCTCTGCTGGCGCCCCCCCTCCTCAGTTCCTTCTTGCCGGACACTCCGACAAAGGGGAGGTGGGGAGGGAATCGAATGGACATGAGCAACACATCTCAAAGAACAACAGTTACAGGTAAGTAATCATTCTTTACTTCTTTGAGTGGTTGCTCATGTCCAATCGAATCAGGTGACTTCCAAGCTAACCCCACTTCACGGATGAGAGGTCGGAGCACCCAGAAAGAGAAGTCCACAAAAGTTGAACAACCCAAACATATTTATTCAAGTAACAGAACACACAGAACTGTTGAAAAAAAGTGCAAAGTGGTACAGAGAAACAAACACATTTACAACACGGAGCTGAGGACCGCAGAGCCCAACCCTGCGTCCTCCCTGGCCTGCTGTGTCAGCGCATAGTGCGCCGTAAAGATATGCACTGACAACCACGTGGCTGCCCTGCAGATTTCAGCAATTGGAACCTGCACCCCAAAGGCTACAGAGGACGCCTGCACCCTGGTGGAATGTGCTGTAACCCGGGGCAGGACCTTCCCGGACAAGACATAACACTCCGATACACCCTGCGACCCAATTGGACAACCTCTGGGTCGAGATGGGGAGCCCTTTCATTCTGTCCGCGAAAGCAACGAACAGTTGTGTGGACTTATGAAAGGGTTTCGTTCTATCGACATAGAAGGCTAACGCCCGCCTAGAATCTATGGAGTGGAGCACTTGCTCCCTAGGAGAGGCATGGGGCTTTGGAAAGAAAACCGGGAGGTAAATTTCTTGGGAGAGATGGAACGGTGAGAAAAGCTGGGTGAGGACGGAGCCTCGCATTATTCTCCCAGAACACTTGGTAGGGTGGGTTTACAATTAGTGCCCTTAGCTTGGAGACCCTGCGAGACGACGTAATGGCTACAATGAATGCAACCTTCATAGAGAGGTGTTTCAAAGAGCATGTGGCCAGCGGCTCAAAGGGGGGCGACACAAGTCTAGACAACACGAGGTTAAGGTCCCAAGTGGGGAGAGGGGGTCTAACCGAGGGGTACAACTTGCCACTGATGGTATACCTATGGCATCCAGGAAGGCCAATGCGGCTGAGGCGGCCAAGTCTGTTGCATATGCAAACAATCACGTCGGTGCCGGGAACGGGATCTATGCTATGACGACGCCCTCGAGGACCCCGATCTGAAAGAACCCACATCCGAATCTGAAGAATAATCAGACTCGGGCCAGGGTGGCACCGATGACGAGTACTCCGTTACCATCGGGGGGGCTAACCTGGCCATGGGTTCCGGCTTGCCCGCGTGTGTGCGGTGAGGTCGTACCAGTGCCAGTACCGGAAAGACAGGTTTCGGGCCCGACTGTGGCGCTGACACAGTGCACGTGGACTGTGGTGCCGAGGTTGGTGCCAGTTGCGGGCGCGGAATTGCAGAGTCCAACTGCCCCAGAGATGGTGCTCCTACCAGTGCCACCCTGGGCTCCATGGTGGGTAGTACCGATAGCGCCGGAGCTGTGGTGGGCATGGGGGGTCCCGGCGTGGCCCAGGGGGCTGAAGCCGGTACTAGAATCGGTGTCGAAACTTGCAGCGGTGCCGAAGACTGTACCGGCACCCCGGGCAAGAGGCCCGGTGCCGGTACTGCTGTCGGTACCACATGGCCTGAGTAATACGGCACCGGCGCAGCTAAGAGCGGCTCCAGGAGAGGTCCCAGCACCAAGGGAGGTTGAGTCCAGCCAAGCGCCGGGTGAGGCCTGGCAACCTGTGCCGAGTCAGGCAATGACATAGAGGCAAGTGGTACTTGTCCCACAGGGTACAGTCCCGCTGCATACGTGACTGGTGCCGGCCAATCCAACCAGTGCAGAGGAGAAACTGGTGCCAACATGGCTCCCGGTGTAGAAGACCTCGACCTCTCCGCCTCAACAGATGATGGAGGGGAGGTAGTGAGACTAATCAAGTTCTGCGCCACCTCAAAAGTCTACGGCGTCGAGGGACGATGCGAGGGTATCTGACAGACTGGATGGTCGGCCCGCTCGCTTCCGCTGCACAGCAGCACTTGGAGACATCTGCACCGGCGAGGCGTAGCAGCAGTGTAGGCCCAACCTGGAGTTCCGGCTCGGAGACCTACCCCGCGAAGCCTTTAGTTTTTTCTGTGCTGGGGAGTGAGAACGGTGCAGAGCCCTCGGTACCGAAGTCTGCGCATGGGATGGGGCGTCCCGCGTCGATGCCGGTGCACCACGCACCGTGGAGTGGCCAGTCGGTGCCGGTTGAAGAGCCACCTCCATGAAGAGAAGCTTCAAGCGCGAGTCTCGCTCCCGCTTCGTGCGCGGCTTGAACAACCTGCAGATCTTACAGGCGTCTGCTAAGTGGCCCTCACCCAAACACTTTAAGCAGCTATCTTGAGGGTCTCTTAGGCATGAAGGTGGCACATGCTGTGCAAGCCTTGCGGCCCTGGCATTCCTCACCCCCGAAGGGGGGAAGGAAACAAAGAACTCGCTAGCTAACTAATTAAAACTATTTACAACTATTTACAAACATTACACTAAGAGAAACGGGAACCATTAAGTATTCTAAGAGAGACACACACTCCAACAACCATCACGGGTGGTAAGAAGGAACTGAGGATGGGGAGCGCTGGCAGGGGTACTTATGCTCCGCTATAGCGGCGCCACTCCACGGAGCGCCCTGCCGGCACTACTGGTACCGCTAAAGAAAACGCTCCAGAGACACGGTGCATGCGGTGCGCACACCTGATTCGAATGGACATGAGCAACCACTCGAAGAAGAACTCTTTGATGCTCTGTCTTCACTAAGGGGAAAAACGTATGTTCTCAATTTGAGGTAAAATCCTAGTAAAGATAAGGCAGATTGGCTTGTGTGAAAACTGAACTCTCAACCTGCTCACTTGTGTCAAAAATACAAACCACCCAGTCTTCACTAGGATTTTACTTAGAGTTAGCTAAGATGAGTTACGAGCATATCTTTATTTCCTAGTAAAGACGAGGCCCAAAGGGCTCCTCATACATTCTACAAGATACTTTTTTGGGCTATGTCTACACTGCAGTGTAAACTCCGAATTAGAGGAACTTGAGTTTGAAGTCCCTTGGTTTGTGTTTACTGGAATTAGGGTTTGATGATATACATTCATTTGTAATCTCAGGTTAGGAATTGTTTAATCCTGGATCCTAACCCGGGATACAGCATCTACACTGCATTATATAAGACCAATTCCAAAGATCCATATCCCAGACTTTCTAGTGCCCTCCCAAAACGTAGCTGCTCTAGCCCTTGGCTCATGGTGCAATGTAGGAAAACTTGACTGTCTAATAAACTTGACTGTCCAAAGGACAAAAAGTTGGCTGTGGGACAGTGGGAAGCTTTTGGCAGACTCTCAGAGCACAAGTCCAGTAAGCAGTGTTCCCTCTAATTTTTCCCACACATGTACAGAATGAATACATCACTCCCATATTGGTGCACGTAACAAAATTCATCCTTTAAAGTCAACTGAGGAGCTATTACAGGGCATCCTCATTTTAAGTCACCCCAGTGTACATCCATTCCGCACTAAAGTCGATGACGTTTGTAGGAACTGATGTGTTGTAAGGCCTCCCATTCCTCCATTCCCTGCTCCTAAGTCGTGCAAAAACGAAACCCACAGAAGTCAGACATGGGGAAAAAAATTACCCACTTTAAGTTGTTTCGCTATAAGTCCCAAGTTTTTTGGAACATATCTTGGATTTATAGCAAGATCGGCCTGTGTTGACTTTCATGGGTGCAAGATCAGACTTCAAGAAATTGGGGAGGTTTTGAGGATTAAAACAGTGTTGCACACATACCTGAATATCCTAACAATATTGGTACATATATCTTTATCATTCAAACGCTGCTCCAGCACCACCCAGAGCTCTGAAACTGCACTGCAACACAGGAGCTGGCATCTTGAACGAGGTAAGTCAATTAAGTTTCGCAAAGTAGCTGTCAGCTGTAGAGAGAACATTTAAAATTAATAAATTATACAGTTGTCTATTATGAATTCCATGTGCTTTTGAAAATTTAATGAGTTCAGATGTCACCTAAACCATTTTAAGAATTGGCACACTGATAAAAAAAGACTTCTACAAACACTATAGAGTAAGATCAGGGATTAGGAATTGTATGACATGTAACTAAGTAGTATCAAAATACATATTGTATCAAAGGCAGCAGCATGGGGAAGGGGCAGGCTGGAGCTGGTGTACATGAGTAGTTGGCTTTTAAATTAGGGAGTAGTCTCCCCCCAGCATGTAAACGTGTAACAGCTGAAAATGTATTATATTTGTTTAACATTATAAATGCATTTTAACATCCTTATGTTCAGGGCTCGCTAAACCACGGTGAGCCCCGCTCGCCAGCCGCACTGTCCGGCGATCTGCGCATGCGCAGATCATTCTGCGCATGCGCAGATCGCCCGAACCCAGCTCCTCTGGGTTGCAATCTACTCACCCAATAATACAAATTGTATTATTTGTGGAGCCCTGCTTATGTTGAACCATTCCCAACTGCTGTCCAAGTGCTCCATGTAAGGCTTCATGAACCAAGGCATTAACGGGTAAGCTGGGTCACCTAGGATTACTATGACCATTTCCACATCCCCACTGTAATTTTCTGGTCTGAAAAGAAAATCCCAACATGCAGATTTCTGTACAGTCCACTGCTTCTGAAGATGCACGTACCATGCACCTTTCCGTACCACCCTACATTTATGTCTGTGAAATGTCCATAGTGATCCACAAGTTCCTAAAGCACCATAGAGAAGCAACCTTTCTGACTGACGTACTCTGAGAGAAGGGTAGCACTATAATGGGAAGGTGTGCGCCATCGATTGCGTCACCAGGGTTTGGAAAGTCCATTTTAGCAAATGGACCAGCCACTATGGTCAACCACATTTCCCAGAGTCACAATTCTGTACAACAAAATGTGATTTACTTCCCTTCATACTCGCGTAAATGCTGCCCTGACAACAGACCTCTCCAAACTGCTACCATTCAGTTGCAAATATATCAGGAGTCATCAGTTTCCACAAAGCAATCACAATACGCTTCTCTATTGAGAAAGCATTTTGGTGTTCTGGCACCACAGTTCAGGGGCCAGCTCAGCACACAACCCTAGGAAGGTTGCTTTACACATAGGAAAGTTCTGTAGCCACTGCTCTTCATCCACACCTGCATGACAATGTGATACCACCACTCAGTGCTGGTTTCCCTAACCCAAAAGCAACCGTCTACTCTACACAACTGTTCTGGGACAGCCAAATGCAATGCCACTTATCTGCCGTCTCTGTCATCTGCATCCGAGTCTTCTTCCTCTGATACTAAGTGAATACGTAGCTCTGCTGCAATGCATGATGTACTAATCACATTCAACACAGCATGGGAGAGAAGTCTGGATCTAAGATTTCTCACATCATATGCTGGAGTGTACAGCAAAGATGGTCATTCAAATGGCATGAAAGTAAGCCAGAAGTCCCGGGAAGCAAATAGGTGGCTGATGGGACATTTTTCTCATTCCCAAAAACCTAGCACTACATTACACATTCACACAGTGCCTAGCTACTGAAGCAGACACCAGGTATTGTGGGATGCAGACCCACATTGCTTTGCTGTTTCTGTCCATAGGGGAGCTAACAATGTGGCCATAATACGTTGACACGAGGATAGAAGCGTGAACATGATTTGGTGACATTCCTTTTGGAAACTTATGAATGTTGACAGTACTTTTGTCACCAAATCTTTCCAGTGCAGATAAAAGGAGGGTACACCAAATAGTGCTGTGTATCAGTGGTCATTTATTTTTCACACTGGAGGATTCTCAGCAGCAGAACTTCCACTGGAGCAATGAGACTGCACTGCCCCACACTTGAGCTAGTACCCCACACAAGTATTTTCCCATTACAAACAACAGACACCTAAATGTTTAACCGAAGCTCTCTCCATTTTAAATCAAGTCCTTAGCATTAGTATCTTGTGGTATTTTTTACATTATTTAATAATCAACATTCTTGATGCCATTTTATCATGATTTTTACAATCTCTTGGCCAAATCTTGCTTGCTTCATGACTTGTACATACAGGAATAATTTCATACCTCAATAAAATGCAGCCAATTTGAATAAAAAGAACCAACCACTTAAGAAATACACATTAAAACTATGACAGATTAGGAAAGGAAGCAGGATTTTAAGTAAGCAATCACTCTGACTGTAATTTAGCCTCAGTGTATATGCTTTTCCTTGGAAGTGCCCCTTGTAAAGTACAAAACTTGTCATCTTTGGCTTAAAAATGAGAAAACCGAGAAAAACAGTCCAAGGATGTACTGTGAGAAATAACAATATTCCTGCTAAAACAAGACTACAAACAATTTTAAGCTTGAAAAAGTTGCCCACTTGATTCATATGTAGAATATTTATCACCTATTTATTAGACATAGAATTTATGATGTATTGTGGAAATCCACGTCTCAATTTTCTAGAGATAATTTGACTAAGAACAAATTCATATAGCCCCCACTCAATGCATAATTATACTGTGGCAGCAATTGCATGTGCCAGTTTTAGCAGCAAATTAAGATGAATTGGTGAACAGTAAAATTTAAAAACCTTAATCCCTTTGATAGAAAGATTAAAGAATTAATATGTAAGACGGGACACAATCTGCATCCAAACGAATAAAAGCCAAACAGAGATTGTGTCTTCAGTTTATGAAGCCAAAGTATTTTCAGGAGATACAAATCTATTTTGAAGAGCTTAGATTATAAAATACTACACACAGTTTCTAGCAATGAAAATGGAGTGAAATGATGACTGAATATTTTAAGGACCTTTAATTGTTTCTCCTCCGAGATAAGAGTATTAAATTGATGGGGTCATATAGGCAACCCTGCATAATTGTTTATTTGAATATAAATATATTGACAATTTCAAATTCAGACCATTTATACTAAAGAAAATACAAGAAGAAATCCTTGGATTTTCCTTATTCCAAAATGAGCATTTAAAGTTGAATATATTCTAAAGAGGCACAAAAACTATTTAACATGATTTCAATCAGGAAATCTTTAGACATATAATACATTCTCATTTAATGGAACGGTCTGTTCAGCCATTATTAAGTATACTAGCCAATTAGCCCGTCATAAGATGGGATATTCAGGTTCCTCCTCCACGTCAGTCTTCTCTCCTGAGCCTCTTGCTCTGTCTCTCTCCCCTCCTCCTGCTGCTGCCTCCCCCCCCTCCTTTCTCTCAGCTCTCCTTCGCCTCCTGCCTCTCTCTCTCTCTCTCTGTCTCTCCTCCACCTCCTACCTCTCACTCGGGGACTGCGGAGCCCCAACGGCCATGAGGAGCATGGAGCCCAAACAGTCTCTTGTTCCCCCACAGCGGCCCGGCTGAGCAGCGCAGAAGTCAGCCGAGCACCACGGCGGGAGGCGAAGGGGGGCGGGGTGGTGATGTACACGGCCAGGCCCCGCCCCCCTGCCCCTCCCGCCGTGGCGCTCAGCTGACTTCTGCGCTGCTCCACCAGGCTGCCACGGGGGAGCAAGCGGCACAAGCGACCGTTTGGGTCCCGCACTTCCTGCCCAGAGGGAACAGCCAGCATTTCAGGAAACAGCACCGCCCAGAAGGAACAGCCAGCATTTCAGGCAACAGCGCCACTCAGAGGGAACAGCCAGCATTTCAGCATTACAGACACTCAGACATTGGGCTACTATATATATGATATTTATGGAAAAATGGAGAACACCACCACCCAGGATAAGCAATTGTCTGAGAACATTCTACCTACTGTATTGTTTTAAACAACCACTGTATTGGCATATCAAATCAAACATATTTATTAAATTTCATCGGGTGTAACACTTATGTGAATATTCAGTTTTACTTTGCTTTTTTTGTTGACCACTTGCTAGTTGTCTTGGAAACTTGTAGTCCTTCCTTGATGTAGTTCACTCCTAGATGAACAACTTTTCCTAAAATATTGCACCAAGACAGAGTTGTTAGAGAATATTTCTCTCTTTCTGAAGACTTGTACAATACACTGAAATTAATCGGTGATAAGCATTTGTTTGTTATGTGTTATAATCTAGAAGGTAGGTAAAGCCCATGCGGTTTCTGTGGTTTGTTCTGCCTTGTCTCATCTATGAAGTATAACTAGAATTCAGCAGATGTTATCCTAGATTGGTCCTGTGTTTGTGTGTTGGTGTTTTGTTTTTTAATACAACCTTTACATTAAACTGTTATAGCACTTTATTTGGTGGCATGTTAGAGGACTGTGCACAGAAGCCATTCAGTGTGAATTCTGCCCCCAGAGTTTTAATTCACACTTAATTGGCTCAATATATTATTGTTTTATTTCACTTAATTGGTTCAGTACTGCATTTAGTTTTAAACGTCGCAGTTTATGAAAGAGTACTTAATTTAGAACCTGCGGGTCTGAGTTCTGTCACCATTAATTGCTTGGTATCAATGGATTTTCAAAAATATGGGATAAAAGCTGATGGATCCCATAACTAAAATTGTCTATAAAAAGATATAACCCTCTTACTCCAACAAGTGGAAGCATTTACATCTAGAAAAATAAACCAAGCTATTCCCTATGAAATCTATTAAAATATATTACAAAGAGTTGAAGATTCTAAATTAAATGCCTCCGTCTAGAACGGGCTATCCAGATAGGTATCACAGGTAATACAAGAATTGCTATAAATATTTCAAAAGGATATCATGATTTATGCGGGAGTGCATACAATTTGGTTCTACAAATCATTAGAATGTAGTTTCTGCTTGACACCTCCTCCAGCCTGCCAAGTGAGATAAAGCTGATCAGCTGCAGATTTCCAATACTGACAAACTCATACTGAAACATACACTATGAATTTATGAAGGAAAAAAGCAAGAACTTCTGTAAATACTGTTCATCCAAGAACCTTGGGAATATTTACAAATTGTAATCAGGAAAACCTCCCAATAGCTAGATGAGGCAAAGAGTAGCATATCTATTTTATATGTGGATAATCTATGAATTAGGTTTAAAATAATATGGCTTGACTCACCTTATATACCACTTATGAATATTTTGCAATGGTAAAGCTACTTTTAATTTTTTCCTTGGAAATGTATTTTTTTGCTATTAGTATTAAATACATTATTTCCTTACATCACTGTTTTTGATGCATTAAAATATGCGATTAATTCATTCTAACTCAGAATCAGACCTCAGTCATCATTGAAAAATCAAAGACAAGGAAGGCCACAGAATTGCTGATGAGTTGGCCAAGAAACTTGTGTAAGATTTTTAGTGATCTTTGATCACAGTCTGGATAAACATTTAAAGAACAGTGAAGAGTTTCAAATATCTTTAAGAAGCAAATCAAGAGATATGATAAGCACCTTTGCATTTCTGAAAATATCCACAGCACAGTGTAAAATGTGAATAGTTTATATTAAACTTACTACTATCTGAATAAATTTCACACACTTGGTAGAGGCAACAAAAGCAGTTATCTTATTGTCCCTATGTCCTAACTAAAACAAGGAATTAGAAAACAACATTAGAAATGTGGAAAACTTGTTCCGAAATATAAGATAAATAGTAGGACTATAATAATTTTAGAGGAATAACATTTTGAATAATATTTCCACTTCAATTGACTACTACTGTACCAGTATAGTTAGGCAGTGCTAAACTCTGTTATTGTTACTGAGGTAAATCCACTTAACTGTTTTTCTCCACTGTACGGGTACGTCTACACTGCACACTATTTCAAAATAACTAGCATTATTCTGAAATAACTTAGTCTCCATCTACACAGCAGGCAGTTATTTCAAAATAGTGTCGAAATACTGTTGAGCTAGAGGACTTTTTACGCAGACTCCTGTAACCCTCACTGTATGAAGAGTAAGGGAGGTTGGAAGAAGAGTGCTCTATTTTGAAATAAGACGCTTACAATTTCGAAATAAGCTACACAATTGACACAGTTCAATTTGCAGAGCTTATTTCAAGTTAAGCCCTGCTGTGTAGACGCACCCTAAATGTGAGCAGATAGTTTGCAAATAGTAAGTCTGATCTGAATAGGTGTTTATAACAACAATTTGTCCAGATGCCAATGTTGTTTTTTTCTCCAAATAAAATGTCAAATAATTTTAGAAACAGCCAATCCAGTGTTAATCCATGTTGTGGTTTTAAACTTTGTTAGATCTGTAGCCATCGTGAAAACATCAGAAGTTGTATAGGCCACAGTACAGTTGTTGACTTTTAACAGTATCCTGTAGCACATTCACAATTAACTTTTTGGCATCAAAACTAAGAAGTTCTCTAAATTCAGCACAAAGCAAAATGCATTAGTGAAAAGTAATGGGGACTTCAGACCTACTGGTGCCAAGAGGTAAAATGAATTTGTACATTGTTTTTACCATTAGACGTTCTTTGATTTTTTTTTCTTGTTAAGATTCCATCAGTATGCACTTTCTATATCTATACAACATACAAACATTGTTCCTGCGCCATTCTTGTAATTCTGGTTCTAAAAAACAGGTTTTGTAGTTAAACTTCTGTCCCTCTCTGCTCAACACAAATATTCAAATCTCAGATACCTTATGCAGATTGTTGGCAGATTTAGCACTAACACCAGAAAAGTTTGTGCTCTCTTGATAATCATACTGTTTTCAAAGAAAGGGTAAACTGGATTTTTGAGTACTCAAAAAGTGTGTGGGTAGAAAAACAAAT